CACTTCTCACTTATTAAAAGTATTTCTGATTTTCTTGGAGCATATCATTTTCCTGTTGTGTATTTTCTTTTTTTTCTCCTTTTTTCTTGTAATAGAAATTTTGTGCTGGGTTATTGTTTTCTCCTTTCCAAAGTTTTTTTTCCTTCCAAGAGCTTCAGGGCTACCAAGCAGAATGGATTCCAAGCTGTTAAACCTAAACATATAGTCAGAAGGTCTCCATCCATTCTTTTGAAAATGGAAAAGCCCAGGGATCATTATTCTTTAGAGACAGCCACAGAATTGTCATCTCAAACTTCAGATTCTGCTTGTGTCTGTGTTTACAGCAGATGGCCCTGGCTCAGTTGGCTGGGTTGGCATTGTACTGGAAATAGTTCTGCTGTACTTCATATAGCTTTATTTACTGTCTCATTAATTTTAACTTTCCAGAAGTTTTCCCTATTCAGAAGTCATTAGGGCTAGATCTCATGCTGCATTAAGAATTTTTAAGTTACAAGGCACATTAGAGGAGTCATATTAGAGGAGTAAAACATCTATTTGATAGACTCACCCAAGTACAGTTACTCAGGTACATTTACCTGCAATACTTAATACTTATTAATACTTGTAACTGATGTCATCAGCCAAAATTGTCAGAGGGCAAAGATTGTTTTATGTTATATTTTAAATAAATATTCTAAACACCTGGAGCTGTTTGTTTTGTTGGTTTTTTTTACATGTACAATGGCAGTCAGTGCTGTGCATATTTATTTGCTAGTTTTGACCTTTTGTCCTATTGCCTGTTCTGCAGGTGTGGGCACTCACTTTGACAGCTTGGCACCACCATTTGTCTGTGAGCAAAGCCTGCAAAAGAATCAGTATGATTTGTAGTGCATAGACTGATTATCTGTCCTTCAGAAATCTCTTGAAGAAAGCTAAATAGCACCTCATTTATTGTTGCAAACAAGAAGTCTGTTGTGCCTGACTGCTGCTTATGTTTGAAGAGGGTTTTTCCTCCAAGACATGATTTGAAGTACACTCATTTCCTTGAGGTTGTTTTTGGCAAAGGTTTTTCCTAACCACTTGATTTTTTTTCTCCATCTAGATACTTTCTTGTTGATGTTTTTTCTCTGACTTCTGTAGTAGCACAGCCATAGCATCTTGAAAATGCTCTTCTTGCCTGATGCAATCAGTAATTCTGAATGGGGTGAGCAGCAGCAGCAGCTGTGTGGTAAAGGTGTCACAAAACCCCATGTGTAAGAATGTTAGGTTCAGGACAAATCTCTAAAATGAGCTGCTGTTGTTCAGGGGCCTTTGCATACTTTAGTACTGATGTGAAATTTTTAGAAGTAAATATGTAAGAGTGTAGGTCAGTTATATCTAATGCAGCAGATAGCTTAATCTAATTACATTCTAAGTAGGTTTGAATGTTCCACTTCAGAGTATGTTCTGCTCTGCAGTTTTGTAATTCAGAGGATATCTTTACTGTAGTTGAGATGAAATCCAAGACCTTCCAGAGAAATAATTAGAAGTCACTGCATGCTGGCTGTCAAGATGGATTTCCAACTGCTTCGATGGTTTTTGCCGCCTGAGATGCAACTTTACTTCTGAAGGAAAATAAGTGAACTAGAGAAAACATGGGCACTTGCAGTTCTTTGGTGACTGCTTTTTTTCCCTACCTATTAATATCAGGCCCTGAAAGATGGCAGTTATTAGTTGCATCAAACTCTTCAAGCTGGTAGTTGCATCAAACTCTTCAAGCTGGTGCGTAGTGTTGGGCACATCCTTTTGCACCTGCCTATTGCACCTGCACAATAGGTGCAACAGGCACCTATTAGACACCTAATAGGCACCTAAATAGGTGCCTCTTTGCACCTGCACCTACCTAGAAACTCGAGCTCTTGCCAAGGTAAAGAGGGTAATGATCTCCTTACCTGTAAAATATCAACTGCATTTTAAATATTCTCCCTAAATACAGACTTAGGTATCCAGCTTGGCTTGAATTGATGGCTTTGCAGTCTAAGTAAAGATAAGCAAAACAAGCAAGGAGTTACGAAAAGCAGCAAGATACCAACAGGGACTATACATTTTTTTTTCTAGGTAGTTTTGTGCTTACTTCTTTCTTAGTTGATGTTAATTACTAACATTTTTGGATGCTGCATTAAAAAGGGGCCCTTTTGGGGGATTTGCATTCATCATGGCTTGACAGGACAAAATTAATGTCATTATTCTGGCAAGTTCATTTTTGTTGTCATTCAGTAAAGGGCAGAAAATACAGACCTCAGAGTACCAAAGTCACAGATGTGAAACACTAATTTGATGTGAATAGTGCCTGGTATGCAGTACTGGAATTGAAAAAGTATCTTCCTAGGAAACCATATGTGATTCCTCTGGACATGGGCCTATTTAAATGTAAACTTGTATTCTAATGTTATAGAATCTTAGCTAGACTTCTTTTTTATTTTCAAGCAAATGTCTCAACACATCTGACATTATTCCCTTAGATCTTAATCCTCTATTTAATTGTGTCCTACTCTAGTTGTAGGCCATCAGAGAAGTGAAAATAAAGCTTGTTTCTTATGGTTGCTTCAGATATTTATCTGGTGTTGCCTTTTCTAGTAAATTCATAAGTAAAAGCTTTTGGCTTGTGCTCATAATAAAAGTTCAGGACAGGTGAAATAGCCTTTTAATGAGCCCTGTTCCTTTAAAAAAAAAAAAGTTTTCCTTAAGAATTGTGTTCTTTTCTCTTACGATGCTGTGCAAAAACGTAAATACAAATAACTCTTACATTAACTGCTAGCTTGTCTTTTGCTAATTTTTGCTTTGAGAACTCGATTTCTCTTGTTCTTGGTGAAGAATAGGCAAGAAGGGGCTGGATTTTTAAAAATTTTTGTAGCTGATAGTGAAGAGCTCAGTGCTGCCTTGCAGAGGGTGCCAGGTCACTACAGGCCTTACGGATGACAAACAGAAGTGCAAGGAGAGTAGCTCAGAGCCAGGGTCCAGCTGCAGCTCCTCTGATTTTGTAGCACTCCAGCTGGAGATTTTTATTTATTTATTTATAGCATTTTGCTTTATTGGAGCTTTGAATAAGCCAGAAAAGTTCTTGAGACATGTAACCTAAGACATACAAATTTGAAGCGACTCTATCTTGGCTTCAGAAGAAAAGGAGGATGAACTTTCTTTTTTTGTGTACGTGGATGGTTCTGTGTATTACTGTAATGAAAAGTATTGCCTGTGTTTGCGTGTATTTTACCAGGAAGGAGGTATTGCAACAAAATGGATTTGTTGATTGTGAAAATAAATTGTGTGATTAAATTATAAACTCTTTGTGATGACTACAGTGAAGGAGATAATTCATAATGAAGCTTTAAAAAGGGAAGTGCTCTTTAGTATAATTCCTGTAGCTGAATTCATTAAACTGTGAAGGCTAATTTCCTGCTTTGCCAAAAGTCTTCTGTGCAAAATTCATCTCAAGTTTGTTTTTAAACCTTGTTTTAGTTTCAAATAGTCAAATTTATTACAGGTGTAGCAACAATACTCGATGCTATTTTGATGGTGTACATGAGACCCCCAAAATTTTGGTGCGTGTTGAACAGCAGTCGAGGTGACATTGGCCCAAGTGCCGAGCTGAACAGCTTCCCTGGGTGAGAGCAGAGCCTGATTCGTTCTTTGCAATGAGTCATGTAGGGCCAGACGCACTAGTCTGCAGTGAAAAGCACATCACAGCCCTGCCAGGATGAGCAGAGGAAATACGTTTGGTGTCGTCTTGGATTATGCTTCTAACAGCAGGACTTTGAACATGCAAATCAGTTTGCTGCTGTCTATCTTGCCCCTAAGAAGCCTGTAGAAAGTATTTATGGAGAGCATCTGGCTTCTTGTTTCTTTGGTTTATGGTACTTATCTATTCAGTATACTAAGAAATCTCTGCTACTTAATACCTGTTTGTTTCTTTTTAACAACTCAACAGGTCTGCAAGGTGTGGGATCTGCCCCAAGCTGTTGATGACTTGTGTTCCTAAGTCAGCTTTGGATAGAGGCTCTTAATGATTCAATCTGAATTAGTTAGGTCTGGATGTTGTACTGTGCAAAACTGTGGAGCAGATTTAGAAAATCAGTGAAGCCTGAAAACAGCCAAATTTGTTGGTCAAGATTAATGGTAGCAATATTGTAAAAAATAGACCAATTAAAAATGTGAGTTAGGTATTTCACAAAAAAGGAGCTTCTTATTTTCTTCTCTGCTCTCTGTTTTTAGGGAGCAAATAATTTCCTTGCTGTCACTTCTGTTGACAGTATACAGCTTATTTCTCTGGACATTGTGGCCCTGCAGATTTAGCTAAACTGTCATTATAGTCATCTCACAAATCCAGTCACAGTTACTGAGAGAATAACTTGAAGATCGACTTTCCCAGTCGCATCACTTTTATTTTTGCTGATTTTTATGCTGGTTCAGTGTGCTGTAACGATCACTGATTCTCTGTGTTGGTTCTTTTGCCAGCCTAGAAAAGGGGCAGAAGCACAAACACGTGTCCAGAAAAGACAGAGAATAAGGAGAGGGGCAGCGAGCTCAGCCTTCTCCTGGACACTCCTCCTTGCCGTGCCCCTGGAATAGCAAAAACAATATAAAGCATGATGGCCATGGTCCTGCTCCTCACATGTTTCTGCTCCTTTGCTTGCATGACTGTAGCAGAATGAGCCAATTTAGGGAATGGCCTAGGTTGAAAACTGGGTTGAAAACAGTTTTATTTTTGCTGTCACTTGGTTTTCAGGCAGATGTTCCTGAGCTAGTTCACATATTCCCACAGCGTCAATGCCAGCAGAGGGAGGAGGCAGGATCATGGCAATCTGTCCCTCCCTCGCCCCACTGAGTTTCAGACCATAGCTAGAGAGCAACTAAATGATTCAAGTTGTATTTTACAGTTATGTATGTGTGTGAAACAAATTAGATAATCTGACCTGAATCTGAGACTTGAAGCCATGAAGAATGCGGTTTAATGTGAATCATTTTTTTCATATTTTGTTTTATAGTTGCTGCTAACTTACAGAAGATAGTAGATGATCCTAAGGCCTTGAAAACATTGACATTTAAGTTGGTAAGTAAAAGCTTCTAAGTAATGGGTAATGAAGTAAATACAGCTTCAGAAACAGAAGTGTTTCCTGACTAAAGTTAGGCACCGAAAAACAGCCTACCATGCTAAATCTTTTAAAAATATATCAATTATGGTATGCAAACCGCCTGGTAGAAAATTGAAAACTATTCCTTGCTTTCTCCACGTCAGTTGAAAAACATCACAAGAAACCACTCTTCTTGAATATTTGAGCTTGTGATGCTTGAACAAAGCCTTCTATCTGTAACAGTATCTCTTCTGATTCCCTGAGGTTAAGAGCATCAGTATGATCATGCTGTTTCCCATTCTCTCCCTGCTTATCTAATATTTTTTTAATCTGTTGCATGATATCAGCCACAATCAAAGTTGTTGAAAATAATTAAGTAGAAGGGAAATTTAATGGAACTTCTGGGTTTTGTAGGGAGGAAAGAAAGATAATTTTAGAGAAAGTTTGCACATGAACTTTCATATGAGTCAGAGAAATGGAATGGTGAATGTGTTAACTGTCTAAGAGATGTTTTCAAAATTCGTGAATTATGATTGAGACCCATCAGTTGCGAGACAGCAGTCTGTAGAAAAGACAACTTCATTAATTTTAGCATTCACAGTACTGACTTTAGTATGGACCAAATAAACTGCTGATTTGTTCTGGGAGAGAGCTGTGCAAGATAGTCTTTTAGATATATACTGCAAAGAGGTATTTTTAAATTATCTAGAAGTTCTTGAAAGGAATCATGGGATAATTTAGTTTGATAAGGAGATTGTCTGACTCTTATTTTGCATAGTCTTCCTGTCTCCTCAAGTGTTTTGGTAGGTAACATTTGCTGAGGTTCATTTTTAATCTAAGTTTCTTCCTTGTACTTCTAAGCTAGGTTTCCTGCATTAGTTCCCTACCTTCTTGGGGGAAAAAAATATTAAAAAAAAAAAAATCATGAAAAGTATCCTTATTTATTCTTATCCTTAGATTCATTTAATGTGTATTCTGTTGTTTGCTTCTATGTTACTCAATAGGGTTGCTAAATAAATTGTTTCTTAGGGGAATCTCTTATCTTTCTATTTGTTCTCCTGATTTTTCATTACCTCTTAGCAAGCTCTTGTGGAATTTGAGAGCACTTGTATGCAACTTGATTAAAACACATTTCATCGGTAAATATTTCATGGTGATTCGAAGTGTATATGTAGCTGATTTTGTATCCATTCAGAGAGTTCATCTGAAAAGCATTCTCTAATCTAGGTTTATTTACTATTATTTCTATGCAGTAAATCAGTTTCACAGTACTTGCAGATTGCTTCTCATGTCTGAATGCATGTGATTTTAAAGTTTAATCCTCTCCTTTCACATTTTTTTACCAGTACATGTTTATTCTTAAAATTGTTGTACTATAGAATTATATAGCGTTAAACATCGTTTAGTTGTCTTGGCTAATACAGAAAGATGGTGTGTCTGCAGTATCCACATGTACATATTCTGGAAGGCAGTTGCAATAATGCACAAGTGATCTTGGTAATAGTTGAGGAAATGCATTGTATATTGTGTAGGATAATTTGTATTTTAAGACTATTTTTTCTTAAGTTTGAGAAAATGACAAAGAAAAGGTAAGAGGTTCCAGGGTACATTATGTATTAGACAATATTTATTGGTAAGGAAGGCATTTAAAAAATCTAGATTGATCTAGATTTTTGATCTATCATGCTTGATTGATCTAGCATGGCTTTGAGGGAGGCATTGATAGCTAGGTAGAACGAAGAGTGATGATAATAGTAACTTTTTTTTTTATCATGGTATTTTAAGTACAGAATTCCAACTCCATTTATTTAGTAAATTCCCAATCTAATAAGCACTGAAATATCTTAATAGTAACAAATGGTAATGGGCTCAGATGGTTAATTTGCTGTTTTAGTGGAATATGACCTGTAAAATACTCTGCTCTGAACAGAGGACCTGTTCTCTATATGTGATAAAAGTAAGCATGAAACAGAAGTAGCCTCCTGTAGTGCTTTTACAAGTAGCAAGTAAGTTTATTTTTGCTCATGAAGAAAACAGTAAATGTCATTGTGCATATTTTGTGGGCATGATCTGGGAGATGTTTTTCTGATTTCTGCTTATAGGCATGTCAGGCTTTCAACTGCAATAAATGCAATTGAACACAGTACAAATTGTGCCAGTTGGTACTGCAGCAGACTTCATTAAAGAATTTCAGCTACACAATCTGAAGTATTAAATGGTACTGTCAAAGGGAAGGCATCTTTTTGAAAATATTATTGTTTACTCTTTACAGACTGCTTCAGTCTCAAAAATTCAGTGGATCGATCAACAGATTTAAAAGTTGTATTATGAGTCTTTGCAGAGATTTAGTTGTTTGCACAGTGGTAAAAGAATCTGTACATGTTGGGTTAGTCACTGTTCACAAGTGAAAACAGCATGGTTACACGAAGAAGCAAGTTTGGCTGAAGCTTGGAGAGTTTGAGGCTTTAAAAGTTCTCCTTCAGCTAAACTGTTTGCTAACTAAGCAATGTGGAGAAAATTTGTAGCCTGGCTGTCAAATCCTCCTTTTTAACATGATGCACTAAATGTTTCTGTTTGTATTTGCAGGCCTCTGGCTGTGATGGCACTGAGATTCCTGATGAAGTGAAGCTGATTGGGTTTGCTCAGTTAAGTGTCAGCTGATGACACTTGACCCCAAGCTGAATTGTGAGAGTGCGAAGAGGCCGGCTTAGACGCAAAGGAAAATTAAAGCACCACACACTGAGTTCTGCTTCGTTCTCTAGCAATTCACAAAGTCAGAACAAGCAAAGCCCACAGCTACACCGCTGCTGCTAACATTCAAAATGCTACTAAATGTCTCTTAGCAGTTGATTTGGATTCCCCCTAAGTGAGAAGCCTATGGAAATGCGCTCAGGTGGCTGTATTTATTGGTTACAAAAGGAATTTTCTATCAAGCTTACTTCTTCTTTCATAAACTTTGAGTGATACAATTTTACCTGTACTTGTGGTTGGTAATACTGCCTCTGTTCTGTTGCATTTAGAAATTTCCATAAATATAAAAGTTAATTATTAGCTAAACTTGAATTCTAGTTTCAAAACTGTGAATTTTATTTTTCAAATATTTATGCATTACACATCTTACCTAAAGGAAAATGATTAGACTTGATTATGTGCTATTGGCAGTTGATCTCCAATTATTTAAAAGAAAAAAATTAAAGTGTATCCTAGATATACTTGGTAACATAGTGTGGGGTTTTTTTTTTCTCCTTGAATTAGTCAACTAGGTGTTAGCAAGCTCTTGCTGGGTATGTGTCTTAAACAATCCACAAAATGATTGTCAAGGGTGTGGGAGGTGCCTTGCAGACATTAATGTTTCTAAGAATGTGCCTGAGGCTGCTTAAATCCAGAATATTCTCCATTTTCTACATGTACCATATATATGGGACTATATAGCTATCAGAATAAAGAAGAGATGTACAGAAGTAAAAATGTTTGAGGAGTTGGAGGTAAATTATGCTTTATTGGGGAATCTATGAGCTAGAACTGCTATAAAATGTTGTCCTTAAGGTAGCCTGCTCACTGTGCCCATCTTTGATTTGACCTACCCTGAAGGGATAGAAATGGATTTTGTACTAGTGTGATAAAACTTGAACAGAACTGAAGCTTTACTTGAAATTCTGCAAAATACCAAGGTTGTGTGAAAATAATAGGGCTTTGTGCAATGATGGAGTAAAACTCTGTTACGAAGAAACCACTTTGGACCCAAGTAGTCTTATGCTTAACCTGTGATGTAGGTGTTACGAAGCTAGCAAGCTTTAGAAAGATTCTCAAATTTGGAGACGTACTTGTAGGACATTACAACTTAAACTACTTCCTAGCTAATTCTAGATAAAGGGCAGCTCTTTAATGTACTGAAAACAGCAAATATATATTATTATGAGAAGTTATTTATAATGCCTTGTCATAATTGTTGAGGTGTTCTAGAGCCATTTGCATACAACTCAATGTAATTTCATTCCATTCTATTGTTTACATGATGATTATTCAAAGATGACTGCAAAGGTTAAAAAAAATAAATGTGTATTGCACAACCAGATTTGTATTCTGAATTTCCATATGCTGCATGCAAGCCAGAGTGGCACTGTCTTGCTGGAGTTTAGTGAAAATGGCACCGACTGAGAGGAGCAAGTTCTGTGGAGTTTGGGGAGGAGGGAGATGATGGTTTGCTGGCTCCCCACAGAGAGTTTTCTTTACCACTCACACTCCAGTGGGTTGTGTAGGAGCACTTTTAAAGCTCCGCTGAGGTGTTTGTACTTTAAGGCTGTTTATACTTTTAAGTTTAAGGTGTTTATACTCTGTGCCTGGACTGCTGCAGCCTCTCGCTTTGGGGCGGGGGCAATAACGGCTCCCGGGCGGCCGTTGGTGCCGCGGGGTGAGCGCGCGCAGGCGCGAGGTCCCGCCCCGGCGCCGCCCGGCCAGAGCCGGCTCGGTCCGGCGCCGCGCGGCCCCGCCTGCCTCGTGCGCGCGAGGAGCAGCGGGGCGGCCGGGGAGTGGAGGGCGGCGGCCGCCATTGGGGCCCGGACGGGTACGTGTCTGAAGTGGGGAGCAGGTTACCATGCGGCAGGGCTCAGGATGCATTAGCAATTCCTGTGGAGTAAATAGAAAGGTACCTTAAACCTCTATCTTCTAGTGAAACAGTTGGCAACCTGCAATTATCAATGGTGGGGTGCACGTTTGGGTTGGGTTGCTGAGCAGGGCCCAAAGAGCTGGGCTCAAGGCAAGCGCCTGTGCAGCCTTTGGGTGCCTCCTGTATGCCTGGATAATACAGAACCTGAGCTTTAATTGATGCAGTCAACAGTGCTGTGCCAAGGTACAACTGAAGCAGCTGTTGTTCTCTTCTAGTTTGATGCAGAAATATGGAAATGCTACGGTGATTTTCCTTGGTTCATTGAGACAGCAAATTCATGCAGCAGTGTTCTTGATCACAGCTGTGTTGGTGCTGTGAGGTTGCGAGTTGTTTTTAACCTTGTTTTTCTGCTGCCACTAGGATGTTAGAAATAAATCCTATGTAAGCAAAATGAGTTCAGAAGGAAGATGCTGCGAGCTAAAATGTGTTGCTAAAGCTTTACAGCCTATTAATGCAAAGTTCATAAAGTAGATTCTACTCACAACTTTGAACAGACAGATGAGGAAAATAAAATAAAAAATACATGGTAAGTTGTAAAAGGAAGTACTGTGTAAGTGATGAGTAAGAGTAGAAGTAGACACCAAATCCAAAAAAAAAACCAAAAAATCAAATGAGTTTGCTTTTTTAATACATTCTTACATTCTCTGAGAATAACAAAGGGAAAAATGGTAGCTATTGAGTTCATCATGTTTATAGAAAGAGGATATAAGAGGCAGATACACTTTTTCATTTATATGATGCAAATGGCTCCAAAGCAGTTGTGTGCGTGTTATGAGCAGTTGTGTGCGTGTTGCTGGACAGCAGGTTTTGTCTGATGGTGAGTAGAGCACCTGCAGTTCTCTAGGAAGGAGATGTCTTAACTAACTGGGTGAAATTTGGAACAGGTGAGCTGCTGTTTCTGTGGCCAGGCAAACAGAGCTTAATCAGTTCCACAGTTTGTGCAGCAATGGCTCTATGCTGCCTCCTGCAACGGGGCATTTGCAGGCTTTGTGGAGCCAGACATTTCACTGCTTTCTGCCTGTCTTGAAGGTTGCAGCGCTTTGTGGACTAGGATGAAAGCTGAAAATGAGAAATAAATCACTAGTTGATCATGACTTTCAATCTATTAGAGAAGTCTATTATGAATATACAACCTTACATAAAACCAGGTCTGGAGAATAACTGGTCTGTATGTGTGTGGAGGAGTGGGACGGAAATGGTATTTTCAACCTTTTATTTTCTGAAATTCCAGCAAGGGCACTGGGCCAAGAAAGCTACCTCCCAATTTCTAGTCATTCATGCTTTTCATGCAATGAAAATAGTAAGATGTAGGGTCTATTTGCTCCGGTAAGTGCTGACCTCAGTGCAACACGTTACCAGCGTGTCCAGAGAATTGCATTCAAGCTGTAATGCAACTAAATATAGCTAATGGTAATTATTTCTGTTTTCTAGAAATACTGTCCCAAATGTTAATGTTATTTCCTGTAAAGAGCTGTCTGCCTCAGAGCACACTTTTACTTTATGCTTCAGATTTATGCTTGGGATTGGGGTTGAAACGGGGGCGATGCCAAATAGGTAATGATGCTGAATTTTCCACAATCCCTTTGAGATTGAAACTTTCTCAGCTTTATGTAATGTAAAATCATCAATTTGTGGGCTTCTGAAGCATCCCTATAGAATCTCATCATGTACTACTGTTTCAGATGTTTTTAAACACCGCTGTTTTCCTGTGAGGGAGAACACAGAATGCAGATTGCATGCCTCTCCCTTAAGTTTTTCTTAATCAGAGATTTGTTTTCCTTTTTGCTACCTACCTCCACATAATGATGTTGCTGAGATTGGCCTGTGCCTGAAATCAATTAGCTATGATGATGAGTCTGACACAGACCTAAAACACTGCTAATTGAGTACATTGAAAATGCAGATTTTGTTTAGCAGGGAGCAGAGGATGCTTTTTTTATAACCCCTCTAGTGTTTTTCAAAGCAGCAGAAAATGAGACCTTGTTGATAACGAGTAACGGTTGATACGGTTTTCTCTGATCAATTGCAAAATAACTTTATTCAGTCAATTGTTCATGGTGCTTTCACTGCATCAGGTGGGCAGTCTTTCTGCTCTCTTGCGGTGTAGTCATGCCTGTACATGCACCGAGAATGCTAATTACTTGAAAATGCCAAGCTGGGAAAGCAACAGGAGCCTGCATCTTCAAGTTCCCTCTGCATGCTCTACTAATGAGCTGATGGAGCAGCTGCATTTGTTCAAACCATGAAAGCACTAACAAAGTCTGTTTTACTTGCTTTTCATTGCACAATGGCCCAACTGATTAAATATCCAGACATAATAGTTGAGCATTGTGACATTTTAGTGATTCATTTTCTCACTATGAATAACCATAATGCTACTGTGCACATAAAATAGCAGTTTTATAGCTGCTTTATGGTCATTAGATTGGTGCTTGTCAAGCTGCTTGCGTAGCTGTTGTGATCCGAGATGTTCAGCTGAACCTCTTTGGGAAGTTCTTTGCTTCTCAGTAATGTTCTAGCTATGGGCAAATCAATGAACAGAGTTACAGGGGCTTAGAGTGTATGGACAGAAGCAGAAACATTTAACTTTTGCTGCATAAACCAATAGGGAGGCAGTTTTGTCTTTCTTAAGACATAAATATTTTGTATCTAATTTCAAATATGAATGTGAAGGCTGTACTTTTTTATTGTCTCAGTAAGGTGTAGGAAATCATTTATGCAGCTAGATACGTTTATTTAGAGGAACACTTAAGAGAAATAGAACTGGAGTGGAAAATAGATGTCTTACATCCCTTTTTTCCCTGTGTAGGTACAAGTTTTATGAGTTTTTGAAAAAATGACATATCCTTCAAATATGGAAATCTGTCATTTGATTTTTTTTTGTCTGTGTAATAATTTATATTCATTAGGGAGAAGTGCTATTAATGCAGCACAGGAGTCCTGGACTTCCTTATCTTTTATCTTAGATATCTTGTCTAGTTTTGTCGTGTTTACTGTATGCGTGATTTCATTACAGATATTGCAGGGTATTTACTAGACCTTACAGATTCATTATTGTGCCTTTTGAGGATCCCTGAAGGCTTCTCCAAAGTAAAAGATCTTAAGTTTATTATTGATAACGCAAGTGTCTTTTTTTCGGATAAAGGTAGTAGATGTAGTTACCATCTAACAGCAATTATAAATTGTCAACCTAAAGGACCAGTGTGTGTCCAGTGGCTTTGAAGAGTTGCATTCTGTGCTTCTCAGAAGCACTTAGGATACAAAATAGAGAAAAATAAATTATTTCTCTATTGCAAAGCTTTCCTGTGAGCTGGGAAACATGCTCTGTAATGCTAAATTCGTGTGCCTCTGTAAGACACTTCTGTGATTTCAAAGCTTAGAGAGGTTTTATTTATTTATTTATTTTTCCCTGACATGTTCTGTCATTAAAAAAAAAAAAAACTGAGGCTGATGTACTTTGATGTGAGAGTCTGTGTCTGTACTGTTCCATGATGTAAAGGGCAAGGGAAGCTTTGAAGGCTGTTACCAGAAAAGCTCTTTAGGTCTTTGGGGGTTACCGTCTTCTCCAGTATGTCAAAGATGTTTGAGAGACCTGGGAACTCCATTGTTATTATTTTAACTGCAGCCTGTCAGTATTAAGGCTGCTAAAAAGGCTCCTGTGTGTCACAACCTTAGTTGTTCTCTTTAGCAGTCTTGCAGTGAATGTGCCTTTCATTGTATGAGTGTCCAAGAAGAAAATCAGCAATAACTGTTCTGATGGAGAAAAGTAACTATTTTCTATTCCTGTATACAATAAGAATGGGCTTTGTACTTAGACCAATAAATGTACTCGACAGTTTTCTAGGTTGTGCCACCTAATGCAAGATGTGCCACTTTGAAAGAAAAAAAAATTAATTCTGGTCATGACTGTGAGTTTGCATAAGGTTAACACTGAGGAAAAATGTAACAAATAAATCATTAGAGTCATTACACTGGGAACTTGGAACTCACAATATCTCCAAAAACTGGAGAGTCTTGTTGACCTCAGTATCTTTTTTTTTCATATTAGAGCCCCTCTGATTAAAACAAACTAAACAAACTGACTTTACTGGAGCATTTACACTGTATTACAGGAATAGGAGGAGACTGGAGCGAAACACCTTAAGAGTATATAATCCCGAAGGAAGGACCATTATTGAAATCTCAGCCCTATGAATTATAAATTAATAATATTTTATAGTAACTTTGGTGGGACTAAAATTTCATTTCTGATC